CCTCCCCACCGTGCCAGGTTCTGTGATTTGGGTCCCAGCTCACCTCTCCCATCAGTGGAGTACCCAGGTCCATGGGGACACATTTTCTTGTACTGGGCAGTTCCAGGCAGGGGGCAGAGCTCACACTGGGGGCCCCAGCTGCGCCCACTGTTGCAGCAGCACTCCGACTTGGTGACCAGGTTGCGGTTGGTGGATGACATCTGGCACATGGTTTGCAGCACTTCGGTGAAGCAGAATCCTTGGCGGGTGTCTGGATGCACAGAGTGGGGACACAAGGTCAAGAAGAGAAGAAATGGGCCCAAGTTGCCCCAGGGGAGGTTTTGATTGGAGATGGAGAAGAATTTCTTCACTGAGAGAGCGGTGAGGGGTTGGCCCAGGCTGCCCAGGGGGGTGCTGGAGTCTCACTCCCTTCAAGAAATGTGTGGATGTGGCACTTGGGGACAGGGTTTGGTGGTCGTGGGAGTGTTGGGTGATGGTTGGAGTCGAGGATCTCAGAGTTCTATTCCAACCTTCACAGTTCTACACCCCGAGACAGTGTCAGCACCAGGGACCACCGAGCAGCCTGTGGAGCCTGTCCCACCTCCACCATGGAAAGTACCACGGTTGGGATGACTCTAGCAGGCCAAGGTGATGCTTTTCCCAACAACCTTCCCTCTCAGAAACCCTGAAAGCCCCCAAAAGCACCGTGTGCTGCTCCAGGGAGGCTGCCTGGGAGCCCCCAGCAGCGGGGACTCACCGATGCACTCGGTGCCAGAGGGGCTGACCTCGAAGCCCTCGTTGCAGTCGCAGCGGTAGCTCCCCACTGTGTTGAGGCAGCGGCCGTTGGGGCAGATCCCAGGCTTGGTCCTACACTCGTTCTCATCTAGGATGGAACCACCAAGAGCTGTGGTGAGGCACGGGGTGAATTTCAGCTTTTCTGAAGCCTCCCCCGAGCGAGCGGTCGGTTTGGAAGGGGCTTCGTGGTGTCCTTGAGGAGCACCATCACCTCTGAGGGACACATCTGCCTGCCCTGGATCTCTCTCCCAAGGCAAGGTGGCTGAGGGAATGGGTTCTTTGGTTTGTACATTGGCCACCTGGAAGTGGTCAAGGTGCTGGGCTTAGGTGGAGCTGGGCTCTGCCATCCTGCTGGACCAATCTGGGCTGTCCAGTCCTGGCCCTTCCAAAAGCAGCTCAGAGCTAAGCAGCTTGACCCAGCCAAGGACACGTGGCATAATGCTGTGCTGGAACACTCCAGACCCACGAGTGTCCAGAGATGCACAGAAGTTTTGTGGGTGTAGAAGTTTTGTAGGCATCTAGGAGGACAGAGAGGATGTTCTGACAGACGGGAAGCCCTGGGGAGGAGCCGTGTGACAGAAGGACATGAAATAAAGGCCAATGGCTGGAAGAGGAGGGTCTCCAGCCCCAGGGGGGACCCTGCCCAGCCTGGTCCTTGGTACCTGTGCAGCCCTCTCCATCGGGCCTGCGTTGCATTCCTGGGGGGCAGATGCACATGAAGGTGCCGATGAGGTTCTTGCAGAGCATCCCTCGTGACTCGCAGTCGTGCAGCCCCTCTGCACACTCGTCCAGATCTGCAACCCAGAACCTCGTGAGACCACCTTCAACCCACCAGCTCTGCTGGGACAGCCCTGGGGATGACTAGGAAGCGAGGGCCCACCCCTCCACTGCTCCACCCACCCCTCCTGCCTTGCTCCGGGCTGGCTGGCACGCAGCAGAGACACCAAGGCAGGTGAGAGTGAGCCCAGAAACACCCAGAGAAGCCAGCTCAGAAGTTCAAGGGAGAACTTCTCTCTGTACGGACACCAGCTAAGCACAGGGGGGGTGGGGAGAGGGTTGGACCTGCCCTGAAGGAGGTTTTACCTCTACACATTCTCCTGTCTTCTCGGAGGGCGTATCCAGCTGGGCAAGTGCACTCGTAGGAGCCAAAGGTGTTGATGCAACGGAAGGCACAGAGCAGGGGATTGAGTGAGCACTCGTTGATGTCTGGGAGGCAGGAGAGCAGCAGGTCAGCTGGGCAGTAACAGCAGTGGAGCTCCCCAGCACAGACATCCCCCCCTCCCAAGAACTTTTTTTTCCACCAAGGCTTCTTGCCATGGTCTTTGAGTGTACAGGGACAGACATCTGCTGTCTCAACAGGTCCTGACTCCCTGGTGAGGCAGCTCCTGCACTTAGGCAGGTCTCTGGACCTCCTCCTGGACTCCAGCCCCAGAGGAAGCCTCAGGGGACCAGCGCTGCTGGCCACACCCCCGTGGAGATGAGCCCCAGGGACCTTCTCTGCTCTGCCCACTGGAGGCTGACCTGACTGCAGCCACCCCGTGGGGTCCCACACGTGGCCCAGGGTGCAAGGGGGGTGAAGGGATGGCCCCAAGGGGCGTTACCTTCACATGTCATCATGGGGCCTGGCTCAAAGCCCTCGTCGCAGGCGCACTCGAAGCCCCCCACCACGTTGGTGCAGGTGCCATTCCCACAGGGGTTGCCAATGGAGCACTCGTCGGTGTCTGCAGGAAGCCAAGGCCACGTTAGGTGGGTGGGAAAGGTGCAGGGTGGTCTCTTCTTGCAGCCAGAGCATCAAACAAGCTGGGTCTGGGTCATCCAAGACCCAGGAGGGCAACACCAAAGGGACGGGGGGGGAGGAGCTAGTTCCTTCTCCACACACACAAACGTTCACGGACGTGCTCGTAGCCTCTGAGGGGAAGGGCAAGAGGGAGGAGGTGCCCCCCTGCAGGCTCTTACCCACACAGTTGACCCCCGTGTAGTCCAGGTTGTAGCCAAAGGGGCACTCGCAGCGGAAGGAGCCATCAGTGTTGATGCAGGCCCCGTTGATGCACACCCCCAAATTCTCCGAGCACTCGTTGACATCTGGAAGGGACACCAAGGCAATTGAAACCCCCTGGGAGCACGTACCCCCCAGCACAGCCCCCTCCTCTCAGGATTGGTGTGGCATCTCAGATCTTCCCCCTCCAGAGCTGAGCTCTTGACCTCTGGGGAGCGATGGAAGACCATGAGGCTGGGAGGGCAGCCAGGTCTACGTCCCCCCTTCCTGCACTGGGGTTCAACCCTGCTCTCCAGGCAGTGTAAGTTGGGTTGCTCCCAGGCAATTCTCCCCCCAAAACCCCCCCAATCAAACTTCTTCTCATCCTTAGATCAGATCTTACCTTCCCGGGTGTCACCTGGACCTGGGATGGCTCCATGGCCATATGGACACAGCTCCTGGAAGGCAACTGGAAGAAAGCAGAGGAGTGAGATGAGCTCACGAGTGCTTCTGCTCACAGAGGTTGAAACGTGCTTTGGAGGCTTCTAGAGCAGGAGTGAGAGCTTGACAGCTCCCTGCCCATGGGAGGCCACAAAACCCCAGCTTCTCTTGGGTCTAAAGCCTTACAGAGAACCCAGAGAGCATCCAAAGCAGAAATGAGCCCAACTGGGGTCGCTGGAGACCCAGGGAACGCTGCAGCCCAGTGAGGGAAGTGGAGGAACCCACGCTGGTGGATGGTTGAGCTGCCCTTCACACCTTCCCCACCACCCAGGCAGCCATCTCCAGGTCCCAGCACACCCACCATTCCCCTCCTGAGGGCACAGCTCGCAGGGGTCTCCCCAGCCTTCTCCTGGCATCTTGCTGCAGCAGCACCGAGCCTTGGTGGTGTTGAAGGCCTTGGGGACAGAGCACTTCCCGTTGTCGAAGCGGGTGAAGCAGAAGCTCTGGCGAGTGTCTGGAGGATGGGGCAGCCCAGAGGTCATGGAGACACCCAGGACCTCTGTGCTCCCAGCCCCACCAGGAGGAGCTGCACCCACCAAAGCACCGCCGGCCGTTGTCGGACAGGACGAAGCCTGGAGGGCACACGCACTGGAAGCTCCCAGGGGTGTTGGTGCAGGTCCCAAAGAGGCAGATGTTGGGCTCCTCTTCGCACTCGTTGATGTCTGAGGGCACCAAGGATATATTACAGGTCACTGCTGGTGAACCAGCTGAAGCTGTGATGTCTGGAGAGCTCTGCTGCCTCAGGACGTCACCCCAGCCCTGACCCCTAACCCACCCACGGGGCAGATGGGGCAGTGAGGAGACCAGGGCATGGCAAAACCACTGAGCCTCCTCCATCATGGAGACAGGTCTTGCTTTCCTCTGTGTCCAGCTGCCCTCAGGAAGATATTTGGGGGTGGTGCTGCACGCCCCAGCACCCTCAAGAAGAGCCCTCCAGGGAGGTGGTGGAGCCCTCATCCCTAGAGGGGTTCAAGACATGAGTAGATGCTGCACTTGAGGCTACAGCCTGGTGGTTAGGGAGCTGTTGGGATGGAGGTTGGGCTTGATGATCCTAGAGGTCCTTCCCAACCCTGATTCTAACGTGGTCAGCCCGAGGTGAGCAGGAGCTGTGCTGGCAGAGGAGGAGGCAGGAGCCAACCTTACCAATGCAGTTGTCATTCTGCACCTCGTAGCCAGGGGGGCAGATGCAACGGAAGGAGCCCTCCAGGTTCTGGCAGGTGCCTGGGGAGCAGGTCCCAGGCAGGCTCACACACTCGTTGATGTCTGCAGAAGAAGGGAAATAACCACTGAGCTCCGTGCCCAGCTCGGAGGACTGGAGTGCCAGGGCACCCTGCCTGGCCCAGGAGATGCAAGAGAAGACAAGAGAAAGACATTTTCCAGGATGCTCTACCTGGAAAAGATGAGAAGATGGGCTCAGCCCTCTGGGATGTGGTGCTGCAGGAGGCACAGTGGTGGGCACAAGGCCCCAGAGCACCATGTGCCTGGCTGCCCCCACGGCCCCTGCCTGCAGGGTGGTTCCCAAAGCACCCCTGGCACATCTCTGCATGCTTTAGGGGCACAGAGAGGACATTTCTCCATGCTGCCTGCAGGTCCCAGCACATGGCAAGGGACTGGCTTGGTCCCCTGCACTGCTGGGAGGGAGATGCAGGCACGGTGGGGCCCAGTCCAGCTCTCCATGGGCAGTCAGATGACCCAAATTTGGCTCTAGAGGACTTGGGGCTTTGTGGGAGGCTCTGCAGAGTCCACCACCCAGTCACCACGGAGGGGTCCAGCTTGGTGACCCATCACAGCACTTCAGGGTGCCAACATACAGCTCCACCCCTCGAGAAGGACCAACCTGCTGCCTGGCCAACTCACCTACACAGTTCTTGCCATCAGGGGTCCTGTCGTAGCCCTCCTGGCACAGGCACTGGAAGGAGCCGACGCTGTTGATGCACTGCCCGTTCCGACAGACCTGCCCCACCAGGGATGAACACTCATCAATGTCTGTGGGAGGGAAACGAGATGGGCACAGCACGTGTCAGCCTGGCACCTCCACCAGCCCCACGCCTCCCACACCTACAACCAGCCCTGGTGACACCCCGAGGTGCCTTCTGCAGCCACGGCCCCAGGGGGACAACCCAGAGCTGAGTCCCTCCGTGCCACCCTGGGGTTGCCCCAAGCCTCACGGCCGTTGTTGCCACGTTGACCCCCACCAGTGACCCACGTGGTGAGGACTTCGTGCAGCTCACCCATGCAGTCGTTGTTGTGGGTCAGCTCGAAGCCAGGGAAGCAGAGGCAGTTGTAGGAGCCAACTGTGTTCTTGCAGGTCCCATTTCCACAGGGCTGGCGGTCACACTCGTCGATATCTGCAGGGAGAAGGTCACAGAGGACCCCAGGGCTGAGGGTGGGAGCTGAGAGTCACTGTTTTGGGTGTGC